TCGTGCTATAATTTTTTTAGTTATTTTAGAAAAACCGTTTTTTTCAACTTTGCGATTTTTTTTAACCATGTTCGCCATATTGGATCAAGTTTAAAGAACAAGAAACTCAATTTAAAATTAAATTTTCTAAACGGTCATATTTTTTTTGTCCAGGTAATAATTTCTTCAAATTTAACATTAATCCGTGACAGAATGCTTGGACTATAGTGCAATGCAAAACTTGTTTGTGTGCTGTTTGTGTTGCTAAGTCAAAAAAAAAGAAGTAGGTAGCCTCTAGGAGCTATAACGTACTTTAAGCTTTATACGGGATGTCCCAATATTTCGCGTACCAGTTTTGATTGTTTTAACTAAATTCGCCTCCTAAAAATATTTTTGTTCTCCAGCAAATCTATGACATTTTTTGACAGTCAGAGGTCTCTAAGGTTGACATTTTCCTTGCTGAGAAATGGTATCTTAGCAATAAAAGTATTCACTTTTATGCCTAGAAGTTAAAGTTGATACTTTTAATCCTTAGATTAATCAGAAATATCCAATTCTTTCATATTGATATTATCTGTTTTAAGGAATACTTTTCAATGAAGGAAGCCATCAGTCCGAAATTGCCCTAAATTCCACATTACACAAAAAGAACACGTTCGACCAGAAGGCTTTTTTCAAGAGCAACGTTTTACAGATTTCAAACTTCGATTCCTTCGAGGCCAGCAAGACTTGTGAGTAAATAAACTAAAATTCGTGCAATACGTCTATTACAGTAAGTACCTGAACCGAAAATATTAAAATATTCTCGTTACACCGTCAAGTATGTGGAATGCTAGAAGCTGACTATGGAATAGCAGCGGTGATTGGTCTTGAATCGCCGACAAGAGCCATCCTAGAATCGATATGCAATCACTTTGAAGTGCCGTACATCATGACCTCGTGGAGGCCTCCCACTAGAAAGCAAACAGACACCGTCTTCAATTTTTTCCCGGAAGCAGAGCTCTTCGCCCAAGCACTCGCTGAGATCGTGAAAAGCTTGCAGTGGGGCAGCTTCGTTATCATCTACGAAACGGAAGAAGGACTCATCAGAATGCAGGAGATCTTAAAATTGCAAGACTACAAACGCAACAGTAAGCAAAATAATATACTGGTGAAGCAGTTGGGACCCGGGAATGACCACAGGTAGTCGCTTCTTTAGATCCATACAACAAATTAATATTTTAGAAATATTAAAATTAAAACAAAGCATATTGGCGTGGAACGTAAGCATTTATTATACGATTTTTTGTTTCAGATCTTTGTTAAAAGAAATAAAAAATGCTACGGAGAACAATATCATTTTGGATTGTAAAACAGAACACATTCTACCAATTCTACAACAAGCTAAAGATCAGAATTTGTTAAGTTTGCATAATAATTATCTATTGACGTCTCTGGTAAGTTATTCATCTATATATTTTTTTCTGGGTAAAACCATAGTATTTTAGAATAGAGAATGAAAATATCTTTCAAATGAGGTATCCTTAATTCCCATTTAAAAATTTAAGGGTTGTAACTGCCATTCGAAGGGCGTTGAATTTAGGGATGAAATTTTTACGTTGTAGGATGTCATTTCAGAATCCAAAAAGGAACGCGTCTCGGGATTTTTTTTATAAAAATGCATAATAATTGAGATACCGACTTTATTCCATGTGGCAATAAAATTTATACAGGGGGTTAGTAAATAAGTGCGACAAATTTCAGGGGATGATTCTACATGAGAAAATAATGGCAGTTTGCTTATAAACGTATGTCCGCAAATGATTCGTTTTCCGAGATACGGGGTGTCAAAGTTTTTCTTAAAAACTGACGATTTAATTTATTGCTCTGAAACCGGTCGAGATGTGCAAATGAAATTTGGTGGGTTTTAAGAGGTAGTTATTGCGCATTTTTTGACACGCAATTAAGAATTTTATGTTCATCATTGGCGCGCGTACGGGTAATAATCTCAATTTTTTTAAAGAAAAAAATGGTACGCCACTGAGATATTACAAATTAAAAATCATTTTTGAATTCCTCGTTCAATTTGTGACAAAAAATCTCTCTTGCCTTTTCTTCGTATGGGGCGCCGTTTTGATGCAAAAAAATAAAACATCTTAACGCGTATTTTTTATTTCTTTAATACATTACCTAGTAGGCTACTGTCAACATTTGTCTGTTAAATACGAATATTTTTAAGAAATGTCAAATTAGCGTTTCGTCATTATTAATTTATTAAGCTTTTAGTTTGCTATAACATTAGTGTTAATAAGTAATTAATTTTTCTTTTATCGAAAAGAATGGAAAATTTTACAAATGCGGAATTGTCAGACATGCATTTTGTCTATGGTCGAAGTAATGGAAATGGTCGGCAAGCTCGACGATTGTATGCTGAGTTGTATCCAGGACGTAGGGTACCTCATCACACAATATTTGCTCGTCTTCATCAACGTTTGCGCGAAAATGGTTCATTTAAGAAACAAACGGTTGACTGTGGGCGCCCTCGAGAAGTACGAACTGTGCAACTAGAAGAAGCAGTTCTCGAGTTAATTGCGGAGTCACCTGAAACAAGTACTCGAAAAATTGCCAACATATTGAATGTAAGCAACTTCACTGTATTTAAAATTCTTAAAGAACAGCAATTGTATCCGTTTCATATTGAACGTGTGCAAGCTCTACTACCTAGAGACTTTTTTCCGCGCCTATTTTTTTGCCAATGGATTAATCATCAAATCGCTCAAATTCCTAATTTTTTAAATGCCGTTTTGTTTACTGACGAGGCTACTTTTGGACGACAGTGTATACGAAATTTCCATAACAATCACTTATGGGCTGAGGAAAACCCCCATGGAATCTTTGAAGCTCATTTTCAGCATCAGTTTTCCGTAAATGTATGGCTTGGGGTAATTGATGATCATTTAATCGGTCCATATTTCCTCCCACAACGACTAACAGGCGAATCTTATCTTAATTTCCTACAGGAAGAGTTACCTGTTCTTCTTGAAGAAATTCCTCTACAGCTGAGACAACACCTATGGTACATGCATGATGGTGCACCAGCCCATTTTAGCATTAATGTACGTAATCATTTAGACACAGTATAACCAAATCGTTGGATAGGTAGGAGAGGTACGGAACATTGGCCTGCACAATCGCTGGATTTAAATCCTCTTGTTTTTGCATTTGGGGTTTTCTTAAGTCATTAGTTTATTCCTCTCCCGTTGAAAATGTTAATGACCTGAGGAATCGAATTATAGTCGGCTGTGAGACAATAAGAAATATACCAGGAATATTTGCGCGAATACGACAATCAATGAGGGGAAGAGTTGAATCTTGTGTCACGTCAGAGGGAGGTCATTTGTTGTAGCTTTGCGCCTTTTCAAAATTTTATTAGTGTTATTTTCTGTTATTGTTCTGGTTTAATCTTATTCTATTAGATAGTTCTTGATAATGTATTAAAGAAATAAAAAATACGTGTTAAGATGTTTTATTTTTTGCATCAATGGAGGTATTTTTGAGCATTTACTCAAATAAAATCATTAAAGACTAGTGTTATTAATTTCTTTATTCGAATAAATAACCGAATGATTAGTGCTTCTCATGTCATTTAAGTAAAAGTACAACTGTTCGTGTTGTAATATTAATATTACTGTTTCTAAATAAATAATTGATAACTGTATTAATGTCAATTTTTTGTTCACATATCAATGAATTAAAAATGTAATTTTAATGACAGTTTTACAAAAAAAAAAAAATTAAACTGTCTTAGGACGCCCATACATTAGATTATGGAGAACTGGACACTACAGCCAACATAACTACCATAAGGCTCTTTGATTATAATACTGATGACTTTAAGAATACCATACGAAGATGGGAATTGTCCCCGTTTGATTATTACAGCAAACGCATTTCTCTCGAACCTAATCAAATCAAAGTAAGTTCGATAAAACCTTTCCTAATTCTTACTAAAATAGTATCTAATTCGTGGAAATTAATCCAAAGTTTTTCACACGCATAACCAAATCACAGTTAGAATCTGTAGATCTGTATTTAAGAAAAGAAGTGAAATCATTTCCTAACTTATGTTTTGTTATGTTATAATTCTGACAAAAACAAAACAGTATAATTTAACTTGCAGACGGAAACAGTGCTTTTCTACGATGCCCTGCTACATCTCACCGATTCCATAAACGATTTGATGTACACTGAAAAAAGTATAACGCCGAACCCAATCAATTGCTTCGAACAAACGAAATCCAAAAATGGATACATCTTTGCAGCTTACATGAAAGAGGTGAGAACCAAATTAAAAGCATAACATAAAAAAATCTTTGCTAAGCTGAGTTGTTGGTGTTCCTTCTTTCTCTGTCCTTACCTCTTCCTTCTGCTTCTACCCTGAACTTCCTCTTTCATTTTTCCTGGTTTCTCTCGCTTCACAAAGCCTATTTTCTTCGATCCTGACTCAACCACATGAATAATAATAAATGTAGTTTTGTACTTATATCGTTTTGTCCCAAATTATCAACTTCTCTTATTTCTTGATTAGAGGAAGCCTTCATTATCATTGTCCGGACCTCTAAAATTCGACGACAACGGCAATCGCATCCATTTCAACATACACGTGGTGGATATTCTCGACAATCAAGTAATTGCCGACTGGTACGCAAGTAACAGTTCTCTGGTCTTGCGCAGGAGTTCCAATGATACCGAGTTCGCGGCTGTCGCGAATCTCCAAAAGATTCTAGTGAACGTGTCGTCCAGGTAAAACAGAAATAAACGTTTGCAGGGAAAGGGATGATAAATATTTGTTCCAGTAAGTGTTGGGCTAAAAATAAACTATGTCAAAGTATTCTGTTTTTGTTTGGTAACTTCCTTTAAAATTCTTATATATTTATATTAAAGAATAGATTGAAATCAAGCAAATATAATGTTGTCAGTATTAAAGACAATGAAATCTTTGATTTAAAGTCACCATATTTAACCTTTCTCCCCAATAAAAGACCCTTTTGCATCTGCGGAGATGTGTGTTTCTGCAAAAAGAGGTGACAGAGCACCTTTCCTACATTAGTTGGAATAGGGAACGATGGCCATTTGTCTGAATAACTGAAATTGAGTATTTTAGGATTGGTGAACCTTATTTAAAGTATAGAGAATCCGAAGAGGGTAAGATATTGTACGGAAACGACAGATATGAAGGTTACTCGATGGATTTGATCCAAGAAGTTGCGAATATAATCGGCTTCAGGTTTGAATTTCATTTGGCTGAAGACAAGGAATATGGGAAATGGGACGAGAAGAAGAAAAAATGGACTGGGCTTGTTGGAGATCTTTTGGAAAGGGTAACTATAATCATATCCTGATTTTTTTTTTTGGATTAAAGACATTATGTTTCTAGAAAGCACAACTTGCAGTTTGCGATCTCACCATTACACATCAAAGAAGGGAAGTGGTTGATTTCAGTATGCCTTTTATGACGCTAGGTGTGCAATACTTCCTAAGCAGTCACACCAAATTTATTTGTTACTCTTTTCTACATTTTAGGAATAAGTATTCTGTACAAAAAAGAGGAAAAAAAGGATATTAATATGTTCGCTTTCTTGGATCCGTTCTCGGTGTCAGTTTGGATTTATACAGCTACATTGTATTTAATTATTTCCGTCGTGTTATATTTCATATCCAGGTAAGAGGACATATCATTAGTATTTATTTTTAATTCTAGATTGTGAAGTACCCCTTCTGCTCAAAGTATTGTTGAAATTGGTTAAAAAGGTGTTAAAACGTACACAATGTTGTATCCATACTTGGAAGCGATGAATGCGATACTTGTGATTCAACTGAATGCATCATTTTACTTGCAACATTAACTTTTGGCGTGCATCATCAATGTTTGGTGTTCAGCGAATCATCATCAACTTTGAAATAAAATATCCAGCAAGTGGTTGAAGTTCCGATTTAGTTTCTTCGTCTTGCATATGTACATGATAATCCATAGGAAAATAATTGTTGTACCATTATTGGAGTTTCAAAACAATATATTTTAAAACTATTTTAATTTAAAGGATGACTCCTGGAGATTGGGAAAATCCACACCCGTGCGATGAAAATCCAGAGGAACTGGAAAACATATGGGACATTAAGAACTGTCTGTGGTTGACTTTGGGCTCCATAATGACGCAAGGTTGCGACATATTGCCAAAGTAAGTTTTCTACCCCAACTACACCAGTACAAAATTGTGATAAATGTTACCTCTGAAACTTCCAAGTTACTTCAGAAGCTCCATTTCGCGTTTTTAGAGGTATATCATCGAGAATGGCGGTTTCGATGTGGTGGTTCTTCTCCCTCATCATGACGAGCTCCTACACGGCCAACTTGGCGGCTTTCTTGACCAAAGACAGAATGGAACCCACCATCGACGGGGCCGAGGCCCTCTCGAAACAGACCAAAATTAAATACGGCGTGGTGGACGGGGGATCTACCATGGCTTTCTTCAGGGACTCCAACTTCTCAACTTACCAGAGAATGTGGACAAACATGCTTGCCACCAGGCCCAGCGTCTTCGAGAAAAATAACAATGACGGGGTGAAAAGGGTGCAAGCGCCAAAGGGACAGTACGCTTTTCTGATGGAGTCTACTCAAATCGAATACGAAATAGAGACCAAGTGCGACTTGAAGCAGGTGGGAAGCTCCTTGGATACGAAGAGTTACGGTATCGCCATGCCAATGAGTGAGTACTGAACTTTTTTTTACTGCATCTTTTAGAACTGATGAAAGAAATGTGTGAAAACTGGTAAGATAACAGTACTACTAAAAGAATTTCTTGTAGATTCACCTTATAGAAGTGCTATCAATAAGGCCATTTTGAAACTCCAGGAGAGTGGAAAGCTGAACGATTTGAAAAACAAATGGTGGAAGGAGAAGCGGAAAGATCCTTCATGTGAAAACGTGAGTTTAGAACTTTGATAATTAAGAGCAATTTGATACATAAATTAGTCCAAATTTAAAAAATTTGGAAGTTACAACGCCTCAAAGAACGTGGGGGAGGGGGAAACCACTTTTTCAGTTATAACTTTCAAATGAACTATTGCTACTTTCGAAAACATAAGAATACACGTTTTTGGAATATCGAAATACATCGGAATATAGAATAAATGTCTGTGTCATTATGAAATTTGAAGTTGTTTTTTCAATAAAAATTTTTTTATAGCTAAATAGAGGCAGTTCTGCTGACATCAAGAATAAACATTTGTTAAACCATTCTGGATCCTTATACAGTCACAGTCGTTTATTGTGTAGACAGTTTTAAATCATTAGCGAAAAATCTTGGTCATTGATAAACAATAAAAATAAAATAGGCCCTAAATGGGAACCTCGAGGTATTCCGGAGAAAACTCGAATTTTTTTAGAGGTGTAGCCTTGAATGACAGGTTGCTTCTAAAGCACATCACCTCCAGTGCTATAATATAACTCTAATTTTAAAAGTAGCAGTATACAGGGTGTTATTTAAGTACGTATCCAAATTTCAGGTTGTTTCTTTGAGTGATTCTAAGAGGGAACGTTTATATAAACATAGGTCCGATATTGCTTCGTTTTCAATATACAGGGTGTCAAACTTTTTTAAAAGACCGTTTTTTCCTTAAAATCTTAATAATCCTTTAGCCGATTTTATTGAAATTTGGCAGTGCTATTTATGATAATTTAGTCCTAACTAGATTAAAATTATTAAGTCCAGTGGCTTCCCGGGAGCCAGTGGAAGCCCGGGGGGGGCTTCCACCTTAACCCATATTTTTGACAAAAAAAAATTCGCCATTGACTTTTTTAAAACTTATAATTTTTTTCGCATTAAGCAACTAAATACAATAAAATACAACTTTTTTGTCTCTTGAATTTTTTTTGTATCTTGCTTCCTTTTTGGAGAAAAAGAAATAAAGATTTTCTAAGACTAGAATAAACTATTGATATGGAAAAAAATAACAGATACACCCCAGTTTTTGATTGTTGTTTAGTTTAGTAGTTTCAATTCTTTATTATATTGTCCCAGGGACATGCAATAAAGTGATTTTTATTATTTTTTTCTCCTCCAAAAAGGAAGCAAAATACGAAAAAAATACAAGAGACAAAAAAGTTTAGTTCTTAGTTGCTTCATTTGAAAAAAAATTTAAAGTTTTAAAACGTCAGTGGCGTACATTTTTTTGTCAAAAATATTGATTAAGGTTTCCCCAGGACGCCACTGGACTTAATAATTTTGATCTAGGTATAGTAGGATCGTATTCGATGCAAAATAGAGCAAAAAATTGTCGGTCTTTTATCACAGGAAAATCGTGTCATTTTTAGGAAGCTTAAGATGAACCATATCAAATTTAAAATGAAATTGAATATAAAATCTGAAGCTGTAGTCGCCCAGGTGCATCGAGTGGTCGGCTATGTCGGTTATATGTTATATACTAACCTGGCGAGCTTGGTCGTAAATCAGAGACCGCCTCCAAAAAAAAAAAACAACAAAAACAGTGGCTCGTACAGAGGTGAAATGTAGTACATATGTGGAATTTAAAAAACAAATTGGTTTTATAATAAATTACATTTAAAATAAATAGTTTATGAGGATAAGGGGATTTTTGTAGGAACAGACGTGAATTGATCCCTTCATCCTTTCATAATGCATAAAGAAATTATTCAATTTCTAAACCCCTTAAAACCGTACTGCACTGGACCCCTGACAGGCAATGACGTATTACTTTGCATCGAATATGATCCTACTATAGAGCTAAATTGCCATAAATAAAACCGCCAAATTTCAACAAAAACAGCTAAAGGATTATTAAGATTTTTACAAAAAATATATTTTTTTAATAAAAGTTTGACACCTGTAATTTGAAAACGAAGCATTACCGGATCTATGTTTACACACACGTTATGTTTAAATAACACAATGTATAAAAGTTCCTTGCTTTCTTTTTAGTTCGATGTAGAGGAAAAATCTGATAGTGCTGAACTGGCACTGGCTAATGTTGGCGGCGTGTTTTTCGTACTGGGTGTTGGTATAGCAATTGCGGTTATGCTAGCCATATTTGAATTCTTGTGGAACGTCAGAAGTGTATCTGTGGAGGAACATGTAAGTAAAACCAATGTAGCATCTTAGACCAAAAATTATGTTTCTAAAATTGACTCATTTTCTTTTCGTTGAATGCCTACAACATTTTTTACGGATACGAAGCAACGCTATATTGTCTTTTTGATGCAGCTGACGTATTGGGAGGCGTTGAAGGTGGAGTTGAAGTTCGCCTGTAATGTCTGGATCACGAAGAAGCGAACGAAACCAGTCATCTCCGAATCCTCGTCTTCCAGCAGCCACAAGAGCGATAAGACGGACGACAAAAGCATGATCCACAGTTTCTTGCAGAGTGCCGGGTCATTTATGAATTTAAACAACTAATTTAGTTGATAAAAGAAATGTTTGTGAGACGAAATTTTAATACCAATGTACTTGTAATAAATTGAATTATACGAGCAAATCAAACTGATTGTTGAGTTTCAACTCGGATAACAATATTGAATTCCAAGTAGTAAGAATCATGGAAATATGAGGACAAACATAACCTGGAATATACGCAACACATTTATTTGTATATACAGGGTGTCCCAACCAAAAGTAGCCACTCCGAATAACTTCAAAAGTGATAATTTTCTAAAAATTTTACACCACAAAAGTCAAATGATGCACATTTTAAGCTTCTTGTCTAGCGATTGTCTAGAATGCTGTATTAAAAAAAATATATTCAATTAATCTATTCCTCTAGGTTTGAAAATGGAACTATAGAAAATCAACCTAAGTTACACAGGTCAACATTTGATCTAGGGACAATCGTCAGAAGTGACGATATAGGGGTTTTTGGGGTCGCTGAACACAAATCCGAGGTCGGTTAAGCTCCATCACATTAGGTTCAAGGTGATTTGTAGGTTAAATTTGGAAAAAGTTGTGTAAAAAAAATGTAAAAAGTGTATTGAAGTGGGTCGCTGAGTTGATCTGGAGGTTATTAAAGGCCTTCAAAGAGTTTCCGTTTGTCTACGTATAACCATCTACACGTTTGTATGGAGATATAGTCTTTTTCTGATGGTTTCCCATACGTTGTCAAAATGAATCAACCTCTGAATGACCTCGGTACAATAGGTAAGTCCATGTAGACGAAAATAACAGCGAATTCGAACTTAGTCAATCCAACATAACTTTTCTGATTTTTTACAAAACTTTTTCGCGAATTCACCTTCAAATCACCTTGAACCTGACGTGATGAAGCTTAAATAACTTTGGATTCGCGTTCAGTGACCTCAAAAACATTCAGATGAATTTCTTCAGATTTTTCAGACTGATTTTAACTTTTCTATGCAAAATACTTCATGAATGACCTTGAGATGACCTTTAATAACCTCTAGGGTGTATGGTAGGGGTAAACAAACCTCGGATTCGGGTTCAGTGACCTCTAAAACATAAGCATGAATTTTTTCAGATTTTTTGGAGGTAATTTCTTGATTTGACCTTCAAATCACCTTGAACCTGGTGTGAGGGAGCTTAACCGACCTCGGATTCGTTATCAGCGACCCAAAAAAACCCTAAATACCTTAGTCACTTCTGACGATTGTCCCTAGATCAAATGTTGACCCGTGTTATCGGAAGTATTTTTCAAAGTGACTGCCACAGTGATCAGTTAAGTGATGGTCTTAATCTTTTAGATTTTTTTTTCTAAAATCTCAAGAGTTTCACAAAACAAACAAAAATAAGCGAAGAAAAAAACGAAAACTATTCTACAAATGAGTAATATCAGTCAATACATTGGTTTTTGCGTTTGCCTTTTTAACATTTATAAGGAGGTTAACAAACCACCCTATAAAAATATCACATAACAAATAAATGTACAGGGCAATTCAGTTATAATGTCAATAGTTTTAAAGGAAGAAAGTAGTCCAGAGCATTCGAGGCGTTTATATTTGAAGTCATCTATTTTGTTGTACAGAAAAATCCCAAACATTATGTAGAATAAGAATCCGAGTTTCCTATTCCAAAAAACCATTGTTGCTAAATTCAGGGCAACAACAAACATACAAAGAGAACGAAAAATTACCCGTTTTTCGACATATTTTTCCCTTTACATTGAAAGTAAACCCTAAATAAAAAAAGTAATTCTTTATTTTTTGTTTATTTGACGATTTTATATAAAATTACAACTACTACGAATCAAATTTTACATTAACAATGGGACATTTTTCGTTCTGTTTTGTTGTTCCCCTGAATTTAGCAATGGTTTTTTGGATTAGGCAAACACGGTTTCTCATTCTACATAATATTTGGAATTTTTCTGTACAACAAAATAGATGACTTCAAACACAAAGGCCAAAGCCTACTTTTACTGCTCTACAACCTGGACTAAAGAAAAAATTAGTAGAATACGAAAACACGATTTAAAAAATTCAAGACGACTGAGGAAATCAGCTGTTTCGCTTCAATGTTCGAACGCTCTGTAGTGCGCCGGCGCATACCCAGTCAGCAAATGTGATACAATGTTTATTTTTGAAAGGGTCGACTTCGATTTTATGTCTTTATTAGGCCTTCTGAATACGTGGTGAAAATTAATGATATTATATCTGAATTTTGATTGAATATATATTTTTTCGATATATTGTAACTGGTACACGTTTTTGAAAGCAACAAAAATCACATTCAAATGTTTCCCCGCACCAATATGGAAAAGAGACATGTACGATGCTCTCTTTATAAAAAATCTTTTCCTCGCCTACGGATCTTATAAAGAAAACGACTGGATATCTGAAATATCTGTCAATTTCACACAAAAATTATATTCTGTCTGTCAATTTCTCTTACAGTTATTAAGTACATTTTGAATGAAAAAAATTTATAGAAATATCTGGGAAACTAAACATTTTACCAACTTAGTCCAGTCATTATAGACATGAAAGAGCCTGTTTCGGGAAAAAAATACTATTAGAAGTTTCTCTGCGGAATATTGTTCGGAAACCTGTTATAAATAAAATATCAAAAAATCAACTCGAGGCTAGTTGGGAAACTTTGTTTTAACAGTGGTCAAAGTTATGGAAAAGTGTTTTTTTGTCTCACGTAAAAAAAACTGTTATTCATAGCGAAAAAAAGTTTATACAAAAGAGGTAGGTATTAAATAAGCCTATAAAATGACAAAAGTCCGATTAAATTCCGATATTTTGTTTATGCACAAGAGCTCAAAAATGGTCGAAAATTGCCGTTTTTTTCAATTGCTAATAACACAGGCCGACAAAATTTCAAAAAAAAAATTCCAGAGATCAGACACTACGCTTCCGAAGGCATTTGGCGCGCTGAATCCGAAACTAACCTCAGAATTGATCCATCACCCTAGGTTTCCGAGATATTCTAACCTAAAAGTGCAAAAAACACGTAGTTTTGCTATATTCAAGGTTATGTAACTTGGCAAAACTGAAAACATCATTGGAAACGACTATCTTTCCCCTTCAAGACGCATTTTTTTATTTGGAAAAAGCTCTATTTTTCGCGGAGATATCGTCAATTTAAGATGACCAGTATGGCTATATTATTACATCATGGCTAACCCCATAACACTGAGCGCTGCTAGCCCTAATTGTTAGGAACGTTAACCCCAAGCCCTATAACCCCACAACACTAAGCGGAGCGAGCGCCCTCATCGTCAGGAAGGTTAACTTCAAGCCCTATAACCCAATAACACTAAGCGCTGCGAGCCCTAATCGTCAGGAAGGTTAACCCCAAGCCCTATATGTCTGGAAGGTTAATCCCAAGCCCTATAACCCCACAACACTAAGCGCTGTGAGCCCTAATCGTCAGGAAGGTTAACTTCAAGCCCTAT